TTTTTTTGTAAACTGTCCTTCAAAATATTCAAAGAACGTTAAATGGGATAAGTAAAAAAAATTTTGGAAAAAAATCAGATGAATAAATTAATACACTATACAAATAATTCCATTATATAATATAATATAAAACAAGAAATATATTACATAATATTTCAACCTATTCACTGTACAGTTTATTATAATAGAGATATCATATTGATTATTTTTCGTTCATATTATCTGCAAAATGTTTAACAATATAAATATGTAATTACAATTATGTTAATGTATATATGTAGTGCTAATGGCCAAGTCCTCGAAACGAAACAAAGATTGATTAAAAAAATCAGTGGAGATAATAATATACACATACAATATTATTATATATAAATTATTATTATTTCTTATATTAACTGGAAATGATCTATGAAAAATGTATTACGTAAAACGTTAATTCCTATCGAAGTTCCATTGTAAAACTGTAAATAATTTCGTCAGACTTTAAATTGATCATCGACCGTTGTAGAATTATGTCCGTTAATAAATAGGCAATAGGTAATCACTATAATCATAACAGTAATATATTATTATTATATCAATATTATGTTTTATCGGCCTAATCTAAAGCAGTATACATTGGACAGAAATAGACATTTATATAGGACGATTTATGCGTCAAATATATCTATAATGACCTAAATAGTGTATTACATATTAATTGTAAACTTTGATTAACTATAATTAATTAAACAATTAATGCTAAGTAGTCCGATAAAAACTAATATAGGTACATAATATTACATGCACCTATGTCGAAGTAGTTAGATAAATGCAGTTCTGAGAACTTACAGGTTAACAATTTATTTTTTTAATAGTGTACTTTACACGTGAAGGGTTAGAGATCGGCCTCTTATTTAAAACACCGAAAAGCCGAATTAATTATTTCCCTTGAACACTCCTAAACAGTTGGCAGAAATTCTCAGAATCTAAAATAAGCACAACTGTAGTAAACCTGTAGTTTACAACACAACTGGGAAAATCATTGATTAGTTTTTGTTGTTAATTATCCCCCGAGTTATTAAAGTTTAAGTCCTAAGGTCGATCTACAATCTGCAATTTAAAATTCAAAATTTGTCTACTTCAACATAAATATTTTTGTTTAATTTATTAATAATTACTATAAATTATAGTTTGTTATCATTGTATGAAATGATTTCTAAAAATTTAGAAACCATGTTTGAAGTTCCTACCAAAAATATATTTATGAAAGTACTTACCTATTTAATGTTATATTAATTTTCGATCATCAATTCGATTATCAATATTCAACAAGCAGCAAAAATAATAATGTTGGAGGTACTTAATAACTATTATTTAATCCATTAACTATTTTATAAGTGTTAATAATTACACAATTTTTTTAAAAATATATCATCTTTTTTTTATTTCTGTAACACTTTTAACAATTATATACACTCAAAATCTCACTGCTATTAAAAAGATAGGTTTGATGAAAACGGGAGATACCGGCAGAAATGTAATGATTCAAACGTTACAATATAAATATATATTGTTATATTTATGGGACATATTGAATAGACGAATTCACAACACAGATTAAAAACCCAGAATGTCTGTACACCCAATAGGCATAGTGCCATATTATGGTACTTCGACGTCCCCCTCCCCCCATGACTTTCCACTCCCATTTTTTGTCCTAACCGGGCGTTTCCTCCCTGAGACATTTCTCTCACAAATCAATATAATATATTTTTATTCGTACTCTAAATTACTATTAATTTTGTTTATTTGCTAAAATCCGTATAGGTAAAACAATTGATGAATAATATTTAGGAAAAGTGGAAGAATAAATTTGCAGCACTAGTCCGTATCAATCATCCAAATATGTGACTTATTTTCATCGAACCTCTACAGCTGATGAGCAACTCAAATATATCTATTGAAATGTTAAAACTAGGTATAGAAAAGGAGCTTTTCATATAATAATTTGGGTTATCACGATATGTTGAAAAAGTTATGTGAACGTTTTCCAAATGAAGACATTTTGAAATATTTTTAAGTTGTGTGAGCTTATGTGTTTTCAAAAAGAAATATTTTAATTAGGTTTTTTTGATTTTTATTATTTGATTTTGGTGTTTTAATATGTTTTACATTAGTAAATTTTGTAGTAATATTATTATTATTAAAAGACGTTCGAATTTTAATTACATATTTTGCATAGTAATTTAATTATTTGTACATAAATTTTATCGAGACATGAGGATAACGTCTTAGATTCGCATATTTATATATATATTATATAATAGCACCTCTAGGGAAATTGTATAACCATTGATTATAATTACTATTATTAGTCTTTATAATGAATGGCATAACTACAGGTCTGCATCCACGGCATAGCAAATAAATTCAAATTAAGAGGAACTTTTCACTACACACTAGATAAGGGTTGCCATCCGTCCCGCTAATGAATATATCTGCCATGGTATCCTGATAAGGTTTTATGACGACAATAATAGTTGAACTCCATGATCTATGTTGTCTCATAAGACACACAGTCATATTACAGACGGTCATTAACTTTAAAATATAATATAATATGTATTATGTAGCAGAGGGATACAAAAATAAATATACAATATTATGACAAGTGTATAATATATATTTTAACATAATTAATATGTTTTGGATGCACGTTTTTGTTTCCGACGGATTTTTTGTATGGTTTTCGTCGTCATGGTTACTTATTTACAAAAACGTATTAGATATAACGTATTAGTTATAGATTGTCCTCGTAGAGGAAAAAAAGAGCTTTTTTCAAGTTTAATAATGATTCATTAAATTATCTAAAAAATATATTCATAAAACCTTAAAAGTTTTTCAGTTTATCATGTGTTTAAATGGGTGTTTTTTATCGAAACAATCAACGTGTTAATGTAAATACTCGTGGCAAGTAAAAATAAATTTTTCTAAAAAAAAAACCTCGAACCTTGACGACGATTTAAAATTTGTACCGAAAATTTTCATCGGAAAACTTTTTATAATTTCGACGGAATCTTGTGACCGAGGCTCATCTAATGATAAACTTTGGTAGTTATTATACAACCTCATAGCAACTCACAGATGAACCTCGGTTCAATCAGTTATTGAAAAACAGTCACACCTTATCACATTTGTATATAAACTTTATTCCGTTGCATATTAAATATTAATATAGCGTTTCCTGCTTATATTTTTGAACGGCGCTGTTCCCAGACATTGACGTACTTTTCATTTATTAAGTCTTCTCTGCTAGTAAGCGCGCGCGCCTGCTCGAGTCCGATATTATAATTATATTATTATTATCGCGGCCCGACCCCAATAACCTTCGGACTTTGCTATGAGATGATAAATTTATCTTTTGCAATGATCAGTGTGATGTGTGTGTGTGTGTGTGTGTGTGTGTGTGTGTGTGCGCGTGAGCTGTATCTACAAGTGATCGCGTTATTATTATATTGAATAGCGAGCGAAAGAGCGTAGTACATAGGATTAATTATATGATATTATACTATTAATTTATTATTATGATTATGTATACGAGAAACGGCGATTCGATTGCCATTTTGATTGTTGCCCGTCGGCCAACATCGTTGTTTAGACAAACCACAGCAACAGAGATCTGATGCGAAAAAAAGTTTTTTCTTGGTTTTAAATATTTAACCGTTTGAAAACGAAAACCTTTTGCGCAAATTCTATTGTAAGTTTGCACTATTTTGTAGTTTTGTACTATATAATACTATATAAGGTACCTATGCAGCGTAGTCTATCGATAATTTTTCCGCGGGTATCGAATTTACATAAAACAATAATTTTACGTACAACTTGCAGCATAAATTTAAAGTATAGATTACTATAAATTGCATAATACTTTGGCAAAGAAATTAATCATTCATTTAAACCCAGACAATTATAAATTAAATAATTTGTTTCGGAAAATGTTACTGTTTCTATAATTACCTAAGTATTTAAGTTTTCAAGATGATGTTATAAGTCAAATAAATGGTCATTTAAATATTTATATAGATCGATGTGAGAATGTTATTGATAAATGCTAATTAAAATAAATATTATATTTTCTAGCTAAATACAGGCAATTACGTCCTATAATATTGTGTCTTATCGAAATCGATCAATAGAAAAGTTATTTAAGAGTTTAAACTCTATAGTTTTAAATAATGATGTATATTTATTAAAAAATGTCAACAAACAACGATTTAAATAGCAGTTATGTTGTGATAATGTCAATTATTGCTAATTTATGTATAACTTTTGCGTATGTATATAGGCAAGTGGATGTAAAATAATTTAAAATATTAATTTAAAAACGAGATGATATCTAGATAATGCTATAAATCATTGAAGACTTAAGGTTTTCAATTGAACGTTAATCTTATCTTTTAAAGAAATAATAAAATGTGAGAATTGGGTCAAATAATTTTTTCCCCTTACACATATTATATTATATTAAATTATAATCACTTATTTTTTGTTTATGACAAGGGCGATGTGTATCTTAAACCCAAAGGAGACAATGAACATTTGTCAAAAATACACCATCGCAAGTGTATTGCGAGAAGTATATTTTGACAGTTGTCTACACTAACTATATGTTTGATAAATGTCAAATATTTGTGATACTCTCCGTGTACAATTATACTACAATAAGAGTAATATAGGTATAATGTGTTACATAACAAATCAAATAAATAATTTACCGAAGTAAGTTTATCGATTTTCGACAAAATAACGAAAATCGTACACGGTAAACGCTGCTATGATATATAATAATAAACAATAATAATACGCATACGCGATGGATTGTTTGTAAACGTAAAAAACATTAGTTTTTTTAAATAAATATAGTATATTTTATATAAAAATAGCAAAAGTGATAAATTCATACAAATACAATAAAATTATACAAATAACACAAAAAAAAAAACTACACGTAAAAACTAAAAAATAATATTACAAGCACATACGTTGAAAATAGTATAAATAATAGTTGTCTTAAACATCTTCAAGTAGTATTCGTAATTCCGATAGATTTTCTGACTTAACTGTATAACCAAATAAAATTTTAATCTGGAAAAAAAATAATAACAAATAATAAATATAAATTCACGATTAACATATTATTAGGCATAATACTATGGAGGTTAAACAGTAAATCATTTTAGAGCTCTAAATGAGTTGACGAATTATTATTTATTACATGCCAATATAACGATCTACGCCGAAAGCTATGCATAAATTATTAACTAGCACATAGTTTTAGGTGCTGTGGTATTATTTCAATTGACGCGAACAAACACAATTTAATATTACACCGACGACGGTTGAAATACGCTTTGGTGTTTTTAAAGACAACAGGTCGAATCGTTCGTTGACTCGCAGACTGTTTTCAATTAGCGTGCGTAAATCGTCTGTCCGAAATGTCACTGTATCACAGAATTTGTTTTATAATTTATTAAAATATTATTATGTATCGCGGGCAACGCTCTTGGATAACAGCAGGTGCATTATTCCCTGGCACCATCTTCGAATTTCGATTTCAAACCAAGGGCTTTGTACAATATGTGGATCATTTTTGTGCTGGAATTTAATCGAGATATATATTTAATGGCTCAACGGCATCGGCATGCGATATCTCTAAGAAGCAACGTGTTAAATTCCACAACGATATAGTCTACTGCAATTCAAGATATTGTAATAATTTATATTATAATGAGAAAACACCATTCAAACTCCTCATTTCTACTATTTGCAGTCCCAACCCTTCTGGATGAAATTTATCTAATTATTTAAATATTCATAAAATCATGTATTATTTTTATCTATACTTATGAGACTATTGTAGGTAGCAACAATTATTCTATTTTTCAGTTTTATATCCAATAACCGACAGTTGTCCGATCTTGTCGTTGAAATGGTAATTTAACCGAGATTTCATTAAAGGTTCCTTATTAATAATAGCGCATCTCGTTTAAACAATGAGACATAGTTATGCCAAAAAATATACATTATTATAGAAATTCAAGAGAATCGTATCGATCGATTTGAATATATATTTTCCCAAACGATTGACGATGTTTGATAATAATTATTGCAATTATATATATCATTGTATAATTATTGTATTATAATCAAAAACAGTTCTCACCTGCTTTTACGTAAATCTAATGTGGCTGCAGACGATGCGTTGTCGTTCATTGTCACTCGAGAACGCGAATCTGTCTCCATGGTCGTCGGTATAATAATAATATGGTGGTGATGATGATGATGATGATTATATTCTACTTAGGTGCAGTCCAAATCCGTTTTGACTAAATTGACGGCAAGTGGACCAGCAGAATATGTCATCCGGGTACATCGTATAACACTGTGGTCATATTATGTTCCGGACGTTGAATTGTTTAAATTATATCCGGATGACCCCGACAAACAGCTGTGAAAAACAAAAAGGTACATTAAATTATAGTAATACAACAAAAACAATCATCGTGGCGCGGTGTGCGTTTATCGCAGATTGAGTAAATTGTGTCCCCGAAAAATACGTCACAGTCTACGTAGGTGCATTCCGTCCAGGACATTTCAAATTAAACATACTAAGACTGGAAGTGGTACGCAAATATATAGGTATAGTATTAGTTTAAGTTGTCAGAGAACAAAAAGTAGAAAAACGACGGAAAAAGAAACACAATTTATACACTAAAATAATGAAAGAATGTGAACGAAGATCGTTGAAGATAATAATTACGGGTTTGGTAAAAGACTTAAAGATTTTTAAAATGTGATTAAAAAAAATCGCGTTTATGTTACCTACCTAACTATATTATTATGCTATAATATATTACGATTTAGAATATCATCGAAGATTCTGATGCCTCCGATAGTCGCGTTTTATATATTCGTATTTTTCTAGGCTTCGTGGCAGTGGCATTCTCCGCCATCAGAGGTCAACGAAACGGAAGATGCGTTTTTTAAGACATGACACGATAACTTTCAAACAATAAATATCGAAACCGCTAACGAACAGAACAAAACCGGCTACGGCCTACGAAAAATGCGACTCGAGATCGCGTTTTTTTAGTGGTTTTCGCTGGAGTCCTTGACCATCGAGACCGCAATGTCGTCACAAGTTTTCGTAGTAGCGGTTTCAGGGGCCACATTCTATATACGTATTATATTATAAATTCTTCGTAGAACATAGGTAACAATACGGTAAATATAATATTAAATTTCCCCGATCGTTTTATCACGCGTCGACTACACGTGTGGGTATATAAGTATATACCTATAAGTATTTTAATATACATCTTGATATCCCACTAAACCCGTCCTTATCAATGGTGTATACTGCAAATGGGTTTCGTGATAAAATATCAAATATGCGGTACGCGCATACTATAGGCGCCGTAGGTTATATGTATATCACAACATAATACGATTATATTATTGGCGTTATTATAACCGTCTCGTCGGTCTGCCGAATATTTTTCACGAAAATCCACAATATCTGCACTATATACACAAGGCTGGGTGGTTTTCGTTTGCACTCACACGTACTTATAGTATTGAACGATATTATTTTATTAGTATGAGAAAACATCGTCTGCAATTATATTATATACATATATTATGTGTGCATGAGTTGTATTATACTCAAAAACTGTACTTAAATCGTCGTCAACGAAAAAATTCTATACGGTAAAACTATAGCATATAACGTGTACTATATATTATTGGGGTGCGCTTGTTAAATGTTTTTAAATAGTGAAGGATTGTCGTTACGGTCGAAGGAAAAAATAATATAGTTGACGAAATCTAAGAGTGCGAAAAAAAAAAAGATCGAGCGTCTCGATTCCACCCTCGACTACTCTTTACCGTGGGACCAATTAATGTGTGTCTTGAGAAGGCATTACAGTCAATATTGTATAGGCTTCTGCGTTGAGGTTTTGGGATTTTTTCAATTTTAGTTTTTAAGGCATCGTCAAAATCGGATACGGATGAATATTATATGCATGAATCGAATATATTTATAACGGGCGTACCTAACGCTATTTACATTGTGGGTATGATGTGCACAGGTCACAGATTATGCAGAAGATTTGCTAGTGTAAACAATGATAATGAAAATAGACTAAAAAAAAATATAAAAAATGACCCTTTTCAATCAGTTACTATAGATTGGTTCAACGCGCCTTGACCGTACACGTATGCGGGAGACGACCTTTTCATTTGAGATCATTTAATATTGGGACATGTACGTCTTAAATATTACTATAATATTATCATAAATAAAATTAAAAATATTATTACTACGAGTTTACGATTACTGCGGTTGTGCTGGCGCTTGTCTATCGTAAAACCATGGGCATATGATTGAAAATGTCTAATCGTAGGTACACGGTAAACCGAAGGCATCAACATCACAGGCGTATTGAACACCCGTTAGTCCTAGACAACTTCAAATTTCGATCGATTTGTCCATCGATATAACACAACATAATACTATACTCGAAGAGGTGCGTGTGGGCCGCGGTTTATTAAAAACCATACTATACAGCAGCTGCAAAAGCAGTGCACATGGACCTATTATTCATAGTATACCCAGTCTTGGATAAAAAAAACCGTGAAACGCGCGTTTAAGAAAAATCGAAAAAATTCAATGGCTTACCTCGCGTGCTCGGAGTGTGAGACGTAGTATACTTGTGCTGCATATTATGTATAAATATATTTACAATCGGCGTACATATAATAATTATCATTTTTCATAATATTGGATGCGGCGCCTTCATTTGTGGCCTTGATCATCATATATTATATTATACAGCTATAATAATACTATACTATAGGTTATACTACGATACGAGGGTACAAAACGTATAGCAAACGTATATTATATATATATTATGTTATAGGTATATTATATTATATATTCTTCGGCGGTGGCATTGGCGGAAGCTGTAGCGCCTCTCTCCGGCGTAGGTTTATCATAACCGTGGCGGTTATCATCCAAATATTTGCGGTATGGACGATGACAGTATAATAATATATTAATACATACAGGTAGGAACATTTTCGGACGGACATATTTTCTTGTCGCGTTACTCTACTCGACCGTGCGCGAAAAAAAATAAAAATCCGCTGCACGACTTTCGTCTCGCGCCCGGCCGGTGTGCTAACATTTTCGTCGCTTGTCCGCCCTCGCCGCCGCCGTCGCCGCCGCCGTTCGGTTACTTCCGGAGTGCTTTTTCTTGTTCAGCATCGCGTCGAACTTCTTCGTCTTGTTCGTGTTGATCGACAGCAACTTGTCGATCACCTGTCTGATGGTCGAGTGTTTCCTGATCCACGGGTTCACGTACATGTCGGGCTTCGCGGATGACGAGATTATAAGAGTGTATAATATTGTAGAAGATATAGGTACCTCCTGTGGGTATAATATCACAATGACCGACGGAAAACGCCAAAAACCCGCGATATAACGACTGCGAAACGATTACGACCTCGCCGTGGATGCGAAACGGATGTAGGTACACGTGGAGACGGAAATCGAAAATAACTGGAAAAAACTAAATATCGTCGCGTACGGAAGTCTGCGTTATATATTTATAATGTATATCGCCGAATATCCAAGAACTGTGATTGCGAAGTGTGACGATTGCACTATTGCAGCGGCAACAATTGCGGTTCCTCTGATATTGACATTGAACTCGGTACTGACCACGAGCGACCGCGCTGCCGACCGTTTTATAAAAAAAAAATTATATCGCATTGACCGTGTGCGCGCGCGTGCGCCAATCGCTGGCGGCGGCCGTCGTGGAAGTGGTTGACGGACGGCTGTGGCGGCGGTGGTGGTGGCCGGGCGGCCGCGGCGGAGACTCGTAGCAGTTAATCGTTAGGTTTTACATGAATTATTATTATTATTATTTATTAGTTATTACCTACACCTCGGTAGAATATTATTATTATACACGGGTAACATATATATATATATATATATATATATTATATATGCACTATTTATATATTTATATTTATAATACACTAAACACTTTCCTGTATCGTACTCATTTCATTATCATAAGGCATAGAAGGTAATCATGTCATACCCGCTTGCAAAAAAAAAAAAAATATTAAAACAAAAAGTCTTTTGTCGAAATCGTAGAATTTTAATTTTTAATTTTTTTTTATTCGATATTCCGTTGGTTGGATAGTAATTAACCTTTTAGTTAAAATATTTTAAGTATTACAACTATAGGTATAATTAATCAATACGTATTTTTAACTATAAAATTACTGCTAATTACGTCCAGATATTTGTCTGTTATATAACTAATAGAAATAACCAGTTTGCTGCATTTTTAACCACTTAATGACGTATTATACTATAGGTATACTGGTGTAATTATAATTTTATAAAAGTGTACCGTAAAGCGTAGACAGATATATAAATTACTAGAATAACGTGCTTATTTTATGCACAAGATCCTCCAGGATTATCCACCATAATAACTGTTATTGTTCATTTTGCTCTAATGATATGTTACTGAATCGTAAAATTCCATTAGAAATGCGAACGCGAGAGAGACGTTTCCACGGGATTTCCGGTCGGTCGAGAATCCGGGAGTGTCTGGGGTTTTCCCCGTTTTCTAACGCGTCGTGCGAGCCACTCGGCTGTACAACAACTGTAAACCGGTTTTCCGGAAAACACGATTTTATGATTATTATTTTTTTTTATTGGTCACTCACCATATTCTGCATAATAATATGAGAGATGGTGCACTCATTTGTATGACCATATTTTATAACGTAAACCGCATACCTAATTTCTGCAGACATGTTCATGAGAAGAAAGCGCACAGCGGGAATACAAAGGTACTCATGACCGAATAGGTGCAACAATAATAAACAGTTTTTTCTTATTAAAGAGATCTTTCTTCAATCCGGAATAATATAAAACCGGACAACTATGTAATACTCACATGTATATTAATATAAGCCATAAGGGTTGAGAGACGTATTTTCTCTTTGCGCTTTTGAGAAAAAAATAAAACTACAAAAGTCGACCAATATTCTTATTACTAACAATATTTTTTGCAAAGTAATGTCGTTGTCGTTGTCGCTGAGTTTATTTTACCCGTACAATAGATTTCAAAATATATTGTTTTGTGGAGCAAAATCGTGACGAGGAAAATGTTTTAAAAAAAAAAACTTAAACTACAATAATTGTAGTACGAATATTGTACATCGAATTTATAATTATTATAAATTCGATGTACAATGCTCGTACAATTCGACGTTTCTACAAAAGTATTGCTATATTGTACATATTTTTATTTTTGGTTTTGGTACATAAAATATATAGTAATATACTCAAAAGGTTTCTTGCGTTTTAAATAAAAAGTAAAAATTATTGTTGACCACTTTAAGAGAAAAAATTAGCTTTCAATTGCCTAAACAATTTAGATTGACCACATACTTTTGGGGTAAATGGAAATGACTACCTATTCCAAATATCATGTGTTATATACTGCTTATACTGAACTCATTTATAATGGGTATATAAAAAATTATATATGCGTATAATATTATTAATATACATAATCTATATATTTTTTTTAGTTGGATTAAACGACCTATATACAATGTTTGTATGATAATCTTAAAGTATTATATTACGTATTAGAAAATTTAGGCTTAACATAAAGACTTAAAGGGAGAAGCCCCTTATGGGTTGTGGTTTTAGGGTAAGGTAAAAGGAGTAGGTGACAACACCATTTTATTTACAGTTTTTTAGCTTGGGCGATCCGTTTGTACAATAATACTCCATACTAGGGTGGGTTATCGAGAATTGTTTTGGTTAGATGTTTTGTTAGGATGTTTATGTGATCGATAAGTGAGTTGTGACGACGTGTGTAGGATTTTATAGTGGTTTATAGTTCTGTATCAAAAACTATCTATCAAGACACTTTTATTTAGTAATCCATTTTCTATAATATACTGTTTTAGTATTATAATATTATAATTAATAATTATATGCTGTTCGATATTATGCATAACCGCCTCTATCATACTAAAAAGACGTATATACAATATTTGTATTATAATTATAACGTTTTGGTTTTTAATTTATATATCTCATACTAATTTTTATTTTTAGAACCCGACCATTAAAAAATAATAATTTATTCACCACGGGAAGTGCCGTCATTTATTTTGTTTAACAGGTATTAATATCGGGATTTCACAATAATAAGCTCACGCACGATTATTAGTATTTTCATATAAACAAAATATGCGTTGTTTAGAATAATAATCAATATGCATGTTTGGATCCCACAAAAAGTATTTAATTTAAAAACTACGGATTTCAAACCTATAGTAATATTATTGTGTAGTTAGGTATAATATTATGACCATGCAATGGGTAGGTACAATATAATACCAATATTATACAACTATTATGGTATTGTTATTAAAAAAAAATCCATCCATGTATTGTAAAGAAATTCTTTTTATAGCGAAATAACTTATGATCTACATGTAAAAAATGATTAATTAATAATTACTTCAGCGATTCTATAATAATTAATTAACGGCGTGTACAGAGTGGTTCTTTTATTAGGTGAACGCTAGTTATTTTTTGTACACAGTTCAAGTCATTTATTAATTTAAGAAAAAATTAAAAAAATTAAAACTAAGTTTTTTTTTAATTGTTGTTTTTAATGACTTCAAATCATCTAAAAGAAAAAATATCCCCGAAAACTTTAATGGTTTTCGAGAAAAGAAGTGTTTAGCCTTAATTATTTTCTTCTATAGTAATAATATATTATATCTGTAATATTATTATAGTATTGTGCAATTCGATTGATAACGCGAAACAGTACAGTTGTACTTAGAAACAATAGTAATTAATAAATTAGAAAAATATTATGCCGATTGTAGATTATATCATAATATTGTAAGAATCGGTATGCACAACGTGAACCCGTAATATTATGGTATTCTGATAAAAAAAAATAATAATAAATTACAATAAATCTACATAAATTATTGCAAAAAGTATAACTCTCATTATACCTCTAATATTGAATTGCCCGGTACACGCCAGTTTTCTAGTATTTTATTACTGCAATAATTACTGTAGTGTTGTATAATATTATGATATTAATGTGATAAAACGTATATCGAAACCATGAATTATTATGATGATTCGTCGTGGTTGGCAACAGTACTTCATATGGTAACATGAAATATTATTAGGAATCGAAGTGGACATCAAAATATTGACATAATATCAACTGATATCGAAAGTTCTTCGTCGAATTCTCGTAAAAAAAATCTGTAAAATTGCATCACTCGCACAAAGACTTTAATAATTGATAATCGTTATAGTGATTTGATTGCGTTTCAGAGTTTGATGAAATATTGATAATAATCAAGTAAAGGATCATTGTTCGCTTATGCTTACAGCTATTGATGTAATTGTGATCGCGTTGTACAATAATATTATACACTGCGTATATTGCATTACATTATATTATGGTTGTTAAACATAATAATATATTGTCAATGAAACTACGAGTCGTGACCTTGAAATACTGAATAAAGTTCAGAAATAAAGTATAATTTATTGTATTGATCCGTAATATTGAAATCATATTCTTTATGCCATTTATGTTATGGGGTGTCCTGTGGCAATACAAAATTATTTTTTCAATTGAGTGCTACTCTATTTTAATTTATGTTATTAGGCTATGTATCTATATACTATGTATCAAAATTTAAATTTGAAGGAGTGTAGTTTCTTCTGATTTTTATTCAACTAGTAGGTAATTATAGTAAGTAATTTACATTAATATAAAATAAACATTTTATTATTCGTAAAGACTGTCCAAGTATAATAATTATATATGTAATCCAAGTATATCAACCATTTTATAATTTACTTAAAACACCATTATTAAGGATTGTTTTTCAAATTACCTACTTAAATTTAAGGAGCTAGGAAACTCAGAAGCTGCTAATTTTATTTCCAATTTAGATGTATCAATATTACAAAATAATCTATGCCCAAGGCTTAGACAGTAGACACTAAGACAGTTCTTATTTGAAAAAAAAATAAGTTTGTTGAGAAACATATCAGTTGATAAATTAAAAACATTCTAAGGTCACACGAGTTCAGAGAACCTCTATTCGGTCGCGTGGGTTAAGGAATTTACAAGAATAATTTTAATCCGTTTTTTAGACGAATAAAAGTTGAAATTTTATTCTCTTTTCAAAAAAAATATACAATGTAGTTAACAAATTATTTTAATTCTAATGCTTTTTAAATTTACTCATATTACCGTTTAGCAAAAAAAAACTTGATTTATAATTTTAAACAACTCAACATTATTTATAATGACATATAAATGCTTATAGTCGATTAGTTGAAGGTTAAAATATGGTATAAGTAGATAATTGAAAATTTCAAAAATTAAAATATTTAAATCAATTTATTATTTTAGAGTATGCTTACAATGGGGGCTGCAGAATACCACTCGTGGTGAATCACGCTGTATATGATATATGATTATGAAACACACATAATCTATTGTTATACATTTAAAATATTATGTTTCTCAACCATCAACAATTCTATCATTTCATTACTGCAGTAGAACTAAATGTTTTGTCAAGCCATCGGGATGATTGAATATTCACTTTCAATTATTTATTACAAATATTTCTAATTTAAGCTCT